TGTTGTGAAAAGGGTGAATTCTAGAAATCAAATAAAAATAACTGTTCCTATTATGTACAGCACTGACTGGGCATTGTGGCTGGCAGCAATCAAAACCATTCTGTTATTTTTCATACTGCTGTACCTTAACAAAACTACAAATAGCAGCCAACACATTACAAATGTATATTGAGACTGAAATAAGTGGCAATGCCTTGCTTCCCACTACCTTTACAGTCGTAACTAGATTATTAAAACAAACCTTTCCCCAATATTATACAGTAATGAGATCTTTTTCAAGCACTTGCTTGAAAAAGATACCTGCACATCAGATACAAAAAGACTTTTTAAAAAAGCTGTCAGTGTTGTTTCTTGTGAAATGAGTAACACCACATGCAATATTCCTCCATCCCAAAACCACAGTGCTAGGAAACTCAAGCTGCCTCACTAATATTTACACAGCATAAAGCAGAACCATGCAAGTACTTCCAAAACATCCACGTAAACATTCTTATATTACAAATTACCTAGGTACCTCCTCCAGGCTCACCTTGCAGCCTTGCTGAGAAAATGAGTACCTCAGTTCCAATAGCACACCATGCTAATGCAGCTATGATGCTGTCACAACCCAATCCAGGACCTCTACATGGCACTGCACAACACAGATAAACCCAAAATAGGTTGGCATGAGCTACTGCCCTACAAGGCATTTCACCACACTGTTAAGGTAAACCCTGTATTTAGCTTTCATTCTTTCGTGCTGTGCTTCTAAACTGACCCTACAGTCTAGTAATAAAAAACAAAGAATGATTTCTGGACATAATTTCAGGTGCTATTTCTGTGACTACTTCAAAATCAAAATTAAAGAGATAGGAGAGGCCTCATTTGAGGTTTACTGAAATTCATTATAGAGAGTCAAGCACTGGAAATATAAAGTTTGACTTTCAGATACCAACAAATATGTTCAAAACAACTATTAAGGTCTTTGATCTCAAGAAAAAGAACTTAAGTTGTGATGAAAGAATACAAGGATGTTTGTCTACCTGCTACCGAGCTGTTATATGGCTTAGTAAGTTTTCTGTTCTGATAATACTTCCTAGACATTACTGATAATATACCTAACCCACAGCAGAGATATTGATATCCTTGTTTACTGAAAAAAAACAAAACAGAAACCCCAGTTTTTTGAAGTACATGCAAGTCCTTCTCCATGAGTAGCAGTGCACTTCACAAAAGGCTAATTAATTTGCTTTAATTTCTCTTTTTGCTATTTTGATCAAGATATAAAACTAATCTCATCTATCAAAACTTTTGAGAAGATGCACACACCTCCAGCTGGAAAGTGCAACCCCTTTCACAGTAAGGATTTCCATTCTTACTGTGAAATTAATTTTTCACCTCCTTCATAATACCTGACACTTGGTGCAAGTCAATACCACAGAAATAGCCCAGAGTGATCACTGGAGGGGAAAAAAAAAAAAAAAGTAAATTTCAGCATTTAAATGTCAGAGACATAAGTAGTGCACTTCACCATAAAAAGATCCACAGTATTACCCCAAGTATCAGATCACAGAATCATAGCATGCCAGGTTGGAAGGGACCTCAAGGATCATCTGGTCCAACCTTTCCAGGTAATAGTAGAGTTTATATGAGATGGCTCAGCACTCTGTCAAGCTGAGACTTTAAACTGTCCAATGTGGGGGAATCTACCACTGTTACTATTTTTTTTTTTTAAGTCAAAATGTGGAAGTAGAGGAGGAGACCCAGCACTGGTGATACATGGGTCTCATTTATGACCCCCTGCTGAGCTCCAGAAACAAGAGTTGGCTGGGGAAGCTGCACCTCCAGGACTACAGGACAGAGTATAGCAGGTAGTGTCACTACTGGGCAGGAAGGCATAGGCAAGATCCTAGCTCTGCTCTCTGATGAAATCGCACCAGACCCATGCCTGGTTCAAGATATGGCATCTGCAGCAGAGGCCAACCCATCCACCCTGTTACTGGGCTGGCAAACATTTGGGGCTTACAGAAGGGACTTCCTAACATTGGGAAGTGATGAAGATTTCAATGCTGACACTAATCCTTCACATCTGCAGAACTTAACCATTCTTTAACCTTCCACATACATACTATAATATAGTATTCTACAATTCTGAATAGATGATAATATTGAAGCATTTCCCACACCATAATTTCTCCCAAGCTCCATTAAATACATAGTATTTTTAAATTAATAGAATTATCTGAAATGTCTTGGCCTTAGAACAACTGTGATCTACTTAAAATCAGACAAATGAAGATGGATCAGATTCAAAATACCCACCCTTACATGGACAAAACACAGTAAATGGCAGTTATTCCAAGAAAATACGAACAATCTATAACTAACTTTGCAGTTACGTCTTGGTCCTGAAATGTATTTATGCACTATGTCAGATGCTCAATGACAGTTAGACAGGTGGCTAATTATGGGAAAAACCTAGACTCTCTCACATTTACAGAAAAATTGTGATTGCAATGAACATTCTAAACACAAGATTCTCTTTCTCAAGATGCAAAATTACTGACAAGGGCAGCATATCTAAATATACACTCCTGAACAATACAACCAGAATCTATGGACATGAACAGTCTGAGAACTGAGTTCACGTATTTTAGAAGTTACAAAGAACCAACACAAGCTTAATTTTTTTTGTTTTTTCCAACTTGCAAAAGTCCCCCCAAATATATCTATGAAGTGAACACAGTGCAAATGCATAATTCTTTGCAGTCTCTGGCCTCTTCATGCAGACAAGTATCAAAACCCATTTGGATGTGTCTTAAAAGCTGTGAAGGTCACAACTATTTTCCAAGAAAATAAGACTGTAAATGACAGTTTTAAGGACAATTGCAGAACCTAGCTGTTTCTCCATGCACAGAAATAATTAAATGTGAAATCCTTACTATGCATGTATCAAACACCAAGTATATTCATTTATGTTTCTACCAGATCTAAGTAGATGCCCCCAGGGTTTAACACATTTCAAAGTTCATTAAGATAAAATTAAGCCAGGCCACCTACTCACTCAATCATTTATTACTTTAAAAATAAGACCAAATATGATCACAAAAAAGACACTATTTACAGTTGTGATTCAACTTGCAAAGCAGTCCTCCTCCTCCCAAAAGGCACTTAAAAACCTTCTTCAACAGCAGAGCTCTCAAAACTACCAGGTTTCAGATACTTCATGACTGTGATTAGAAACAAATGATGAAACATCCCTTTTTCAAAAAAATATCCAAGAAACTCAACACTACCTAAGCTGGAAAGAGTTTACTTTCTATCCTGTTCTCCACCTCTCTATTCATTTTAGGCAGAAATATTTCAGCCCAGAAAGTGAGTTTCATAAAACATTACAAGCAGAGAATTACAGCTTCAAACACACATTCCTTCATGCTACCAGACCAGCAGATTTCACAGTTTAAAATTATTCAGTCTCCTTTATCCCAGACTACCTTCCCACACATGCCTTCATTTGCTATCAATAAGCTAGCTTCACTTGAGACAGCTCACTGAAACTGCAGCAGGATCCACTGGATTACATCTGGAGTTTCTACACACATGGAAAATAATTTTCTACAATGAAAAAGTTATGTTAGAAATCATTAGCGTGCACCACTCGCAAACTTCTTTTCATCAAGTCATTTCCCCCAGAAAGTGGCATCCTTTTACACTTCATTGCAAGGTAAATCTTATTTCTGAGCCAACTAATGCAAAACAGCAGACCAGCAAAAGACATTCCAATTCTAATATGTTTGGGTAAAACTACAAACTTGCACTGAAACAATTATTCCCCTAAAACAGCGACAGGAAATTATATTTATATACATGGGGTTCTGTTAAGAATAAGTAACTATCTGTAAAGCTACTTTCAAAATTAAAACCAGGCTGTTGTTATATATAAATTCAGTAAAACATACACATGCACCTAAATGCCTATGACTTTTTAGTTACTGAAAAGTGGAATAGGGACTATTTGTAATACTTCTGTATTGAAAAAAATTTTAACCAGTAGTAAAGCCACATGATCACTGCTCTACTAGGCACAGAAATTGTTTTAACATATATTCAATTCTCCCCTGCTACTCTCCACTTTCCTGAAAATAAAAAAACACTGACATCTAAATGCACATACTTGAAAGTAATCCTAAGAGTATTTTGTATTCTGGAAGATAAAAACACCACAGGATCTTGCTGGCAAAAAGAACACGCCAATGAGAAAGGGGGGAGAGAATGGAAGGGAAACAGTGTTTGCTCACTCTATGGCGCAGTTTTGCAAGTTTTTGTTTTTTTTAAAACTAGTTAATAATACAAAGGGAAAGAACTGGTGGCCTCCAGTGTGAACATTAGTATATATTTTTTAAATTGCAAAAGAGCGTCATATAAAGCAAGAAACACCACTTACCTGTCCCACCCCCATTCTCAAAACTTGGCGAACTCCATCTTTCAGCAAAGTTTCTTGGTAGCTATGACATCTCAAGACTAGAACAGGCTGGACCCCAAGCAGTAAGAGCATATTAGGAGGGGCTGAAATTGGAAAAAAATGTTATATACCTCTTTCTCATCTTAAGTCAGCAAATCATAAAACCTGTAATTGAGCTGGCTTCCACAGCAGTTAATTATGAAGACTGGAAATACTGGTATTATGCACTGACTATCCATCATGACAAAGAGTATCTAGTTTAATGAGACCTTTACATATTACCTAAATTGACAGATCTTAGGCAATTAAATCACAAATAGACTAAACGCCATTTCTCAGAAAAGCCTATCAGTGCAAGCATTTTTAGAAAGATCACAGAAAGCTAACCTTAATGAATAAAGAGGGAAGAACACCCTAAATGCTAAAGGTGATCCATGCACTACTTCTGGTTTTACCAGAGAACAAGCATCAGTTATTTACCTACCAAAGAAAGCAAAATCATGGAAGCAGGCACCTTCTATGACTACAGAATTTCTAAAGTTGGTTTTTTTCCTTAAAAAAAAAAAAAAAGACAAAATCTCTCCTAATAAAGCCAGGACTCTTAAGAATAAGCATATTGTTATTCACATTACTCACTAGTTGTAACTGAAAAACAGACCTTCAATGACACCAAATACCTTAAATACGACACAGCAGTTGTACTAAGTCAAGTCAGATGTCAAAAAGCATAGGGCACAACCTGCAGAGTCTTGCACAAATTTCTAGTCACCTTCTGGAAACTAAGGTATGGCTCAGTTAATAAGATGAGGGTAGTGCAAAGTGCCACTTTATATAATACACAAGCTAATATGAAAAGGGATCTTCAGAGATCTTTTTTTCTTGGTGGAGGTAACAATTTTTCTTCCTTTTTTTTTTTTTTTTACACCCAGAGTGAGAAGAACAGAACATAAACCAACTCAGTTTAAACACAATATTTGTAATACATCACAGGACACCAGCTGCTCAGTGAGCTCACTTTCAATCTGAGAAGTAAAATTTCCTAAAAAGACAGCTCTTTTGTCAGACCCTCAATGGCCCAGGAGAGACAACCTAAAGTAAACAGCAGAAGCATAACAACCTGTATTACACATCAAATAACTAAGAACTTGAGACATCCATGGCTCCCAATAGACTACCATCCCAGCAAATCTTCAATTGATAATAACTTATAAAAGAAACAGCTTCTTAAGTACACATCTAAGGTTAGTGAGCACCTCATAACATCTAAAATAATTAATGCCAGGAACTCCAGTTACAGGCAACTTTAAATCTTTCATGAAACAACACACATTTCCCCACCAAAGTATTGTGATACAACCAGCTACAGAAATGCACATTAAACCACTGATGTAAGAGATTAAGAATTACTTATGGAAGTGAAATGAACAAAAGCAGTCTTTTAATTTTCTTATCAGAATATTATTTATTCTGCTTAAAGAAATAAGAAGGAGCAGTGTCATACATTTCATACATGGACTGTGGGAATGGGAGGGGTGGAGAAAGAAACAGGGAAAACAAAACTTTAGCAGGCAGAGATTACAGAAAAGTGCAATCTGGCACATTGCTCTATAAATAAATTAATACCAGGTAAGTAGGTTTAAACCTTGGCTTAGAGCTACACTGTGAGAACTTGAAAAATCACTCAAGCAAGCCTTTTGATCTCTTAGAATTGCAATGGGCATATAATTTGTGGTGGCCTCTCAATTCCCTCAAAATCAAGAACTCATCAGCAATGTCAAGTAATACCCAACATTCTTATCTATAATCTCAGGGAAGTCCCCCTCAATGCTATAGAGCTGTATTGTGAAAGGACTAAGAAATGCAGCATAGCACAGGATGTATTTTCTTCATGTGTGCTACCACCCTTGTCTCCACCAAGCCGTAGAGCACACTTCAACAATTTGAAATATTTATTGAACTTTGAAAGTTATGAAACGCTAATTCTTCTGACTCCACCACATAGGCAGTATACTTTATTCTCAACCATAGACAACAGCAACAGAAGTGAAGATAAGGTTCAGAAATCTGTGGTCACAAAACAAATAAAAACTAGATCTGATACTCAACTGTAAACTGTAACTAACAACTTTTGCAACCACATCAAACCTTGATATTCTAACCCAAGGCTACCCTACATCTACTAGCCTAACAAAGGTTCCAAGAGGAAATAAATTTTAAAAAAAGAAACTAATCAGCTTCTAGTCTTTGATCAAGTTATCTTGGGATTTATGGAAAATGCCCTTAATGAATTTGCAGAATCAGGCCCCTTTTCTCCTTGTCCAGTTTCCTTTTCAGAATCAGCCACAGACACGACAACTCCAGAATAATTCTTCCCCTCCTCCTCAAGCCAAAGCATATCATCCTCAGGACTTTGCTATTAGCAACCCTTCCAAAGAAGTAAAGATATTTTAGACATACTAGTCATACTGGATATTCAACTTGAGACCCCTTAACTGAATCTTTTTTAGCACTCTCAAAGTCAAGCCTGTAAACTTTCCCGAACTGGCCCCTGCAAAATTAAGGCCTTCTGACTGTTTCAGATATGCATTTGTGACTGTTTATCAAGGACACACATACAGATGTAAAGATTTTGGTTCAATCAGGCTGAGGTCTAGTACTTCAGTACTATTGAAGATGTCCCAGGTGTTTCACCACGTCTCCAGTGTCTTCTCCAATAAGTGATGGTCTGTCTCCAGTTAGCGAGGCACACACCTCAGGTGCCAGGCTTGGGCAACGTCTTGCACATCTAGCTGCTTATCAAATACTCCATGTGCAGACATAATAGATTAAAGGTTCAGAAGAGTGGATTAAATAACACCAGTATCAACTGAGAGGGGTGGAGGAAAAGTCGGGAGGCCTAGTTTTGATAATGATTTGCCGAGTGAACTTGCAAAAGGTGTTTTTACTCTACTATGCTGTATTTTCCATTAAATTAAACAGGGTGTGTTCTGAGATTCAACTGAAGATAAATATGATTAAGTTAATCAGTGGCATCCAGCACTTTGTCCATTTCTCCAGATGAGGTAGCCCCTATAAAGACAATTAGCTATTCATTTATTAAGCATTAGGAGAATTAAGATAATGATAATTAACTTCTACAAACCAAAATACATGTGCTCTAACACGCCACTGAGTTATCTGAAAGCTTTAGGAGGATCTCAATACAGAGATGTGCCACCTATTTCTACACAGATCAGGAACGTCATGGGCTGGTGCAGAATATCTAATACATGTAGGTAAGATATAAAAAGGCTCATATAATCTTTTTATATTTGCATTAAGATATACATCATGTAATGAAAAACTGGTAATTCCAAGCAGTACTTTTTAGGAACTTAAGACCAACTAAGAAAACATTCAAGCATCTAAGGCAATGTTATGTTTTGAACCTGTACTTTCCAAACAACTAACTTAATTTATTTGAAAATTAGAAACATTTATACCCTGGTATAATATTATGTTTGTGAAATCAACACTTCAAAAAGCAAACAGTACTATTAATTCCAAATAACCTCATTTGGGATTCTAAATGTTTGCTCCATTAAGAGCATTTTTGTTTCCAGTTAGATAATCTAGTCCAAAATTTGAAATTTAAGAACATATATTTAGCAGCTCATACTCAAATCCTCGCCTTTTTGTAATACTTCAAAACGACTTTCAGAATCACAGAATGGAAGGTTCCACTAAAGCACCTCAATCTTTCAAAGAAAAATTATCCAACTTTCTCTGGCCAAGTGCAGATAAAAAGACTACAAAATTTTCAAACTTACCTGTAACATACCAACTATTTCCACTTTATTAAAAAAGATGAAAGAATGAAGTGTTGATAGCATATTTTCCTCAAAAACTGAGGGAGTGGGTAGGACCATATCTTGAATATACTGTACTCTGTATGTCTGATGTATTTTTTGCTTCAGCTCTGGATCAGATATAGGAATCACCTCTTTAAATTTTGCTGTTTTAGTCAGAAATTCCCTGTGTTTCCGTGACTGTGATAAAGACGGATCATATTCTAGGCATCCAATTACGTCCATTATACATTCCTCGGAAAACATGACTTCAAAAAGTGCAGTTCTGTTCAAAAGGAAAATTCCCTTGATAATTTCATATAAGTGGTGTAGTCCTTCAGTGTTCTCCAAGTCTTCACACACATGAAAAATTTCTAAGAGCTTCTTAATATAGCCCTCATTTTCTAGTGCTAGTGCGAGTTTTTCACGACGTAACGGTGAGGGCAGTGAAGATGCCACAAGTTCTGCAATTTCTTCTAGTCGACTTAATTCACAAGATGGCAATTCTAGACCTGGTGATGACATATCATCAAAACGTTCTTCCTCAGATTCATCAACAAGGTCCTGAGTAATATCAACAGAAGGGTCTTTGCCTTGAACCTACAAAATAAGATGCGTACAAAGAAGTGGAGTTTAATATTTACTTGAACTTTTTTTTTTTAATGTTACTTTTTTTGGTACTGCCAAAATAGAAGTGCAAATGTAAGCCTGACTGAGTACAGCTGCTTTGGGAAATATAAGATAATGACAAGATTTCTTAAAACGGAAGGGTTAACAAAATTATTTCTAAATTAGATACTTATTTCTATTTATTTTCTATAAAAAGGAGGAAGAGTAAGTAAAAGAATGACATTTTCTGAGTACTTCAAATAAAAAAGGAAATTCATAATTACTCGTATGGATGACTTTTTAATAGACTATTGAACTAAGCTATTTGTTTCCAGTCTTCATTCTCTGCAGGCAGATTTTGAAAAGCAAATCAGTATTACATTATTGACCTGATAGCTTTAACCATTTATCTGTAGGCTATTTAACTGTTCACGTGGCTTTTCAAAGCTTCTGCTATCTCAGAGGAAAGAGGTGAATCTTGTTAATTTAATTTATGTTTTCAGTTCTGGAAAGCTGCAAGTCAAACTCTGTTACTGCTCACTTTGTAAATACTCAGAGGCACAGAATCCCCTCTTAAGAGCTGAAAACCACAAACTAATATTAACAGAAGGGTAGTTGAAATCTGGAACTGTCAGGGAAATAAGGCACAGTACCTACAAAGATCTCTTTAGAGATACAATAAGGAAACTGCAGAAAGAACACATTAGTGAAAAAAAAAACAGACACAGATGCTTGAGCACCAGAATGCTTCAGCTTTAATGACATCTTAATTGTAGTATCTGCTTGGAGTCTGATGTATCAAATCCAGAAAGGCACTGCTGTGTAGAACAGTAAAAGGTACTGTTATTTTTTATCTTGGAAATCAACAACAACAAAAAATTAGATGGGAGCAATAACTAGTAACGGATAACAGCCAACCTATACTTAGATTAAAATCCAGAATGCTGTTAAAACCCATGTACTGTCCTGTTTATATATCTGCAACCACTTCCAGTTTAAGTAGTGTTAAATTTCTCTAAAGACTGAGCAAGCTTAAGATCTTTGAAGTATACCAGACACAAATACAATAGCATGGCTTCAAAACAGGATGTAAAGACACTGGTTTCTTCCAGAAGTACTATATATTTATATGAGGCTGAGGAAGCTGGGTTTCTTATCTGGATGTTTCCCAAGACACAATTTCCCTTTTCCCCCCATTTTGTTTCTGTTCCCAACTTTTGGTCCTTTGACTGCTAGGGTTCCTGGAAACTTTTCTGTACTTATTTACATTAAGTGGTATTTATTGAGTATTAAGTATTTATTGAAAAGACTCATTCCTAGGAAAAGGAATTCCCTGTACACATGAAATTATAAAACCAGATTTCTTTTGCTTTATTTCTGAAATGAGTGAGAACAAGCTCTGAAAGACAGAGTGGAGAGACAGATGTTTGTTAGGAACAGAGTGAGAGGGCATAGAGAGAGAACTGGACATATTTAAGGTAAGTCCTACCTAATCATAGAATTGTTTTGGCTGGAAAAGACCTTTAAGATTATCAAGTCCAACTGTATACCTAGCAGTGCTAAATACGCCACTAAACCATCTCCCTAACAACACATCTACATGTCTTTTAAATACCTCCAGAGATGGTGATCTGACCACTTCCTTGGGCAGCCTGTTCCAGTGTTAGACAACCCTTTCAGTAAGGAATGGTTTCCTAATATCCAATCTAAACCTCTCATAGTGCAACTTGAGACCATTTCCTCTTGTTCTGTTGCTTGTTACTTGGAAGAAACCAACTCCACCTTGCTACAACCTCCTTTCAGGTAGTTGCAGAGAGCAATAAAAGTCTCCCCTGACTTTTTATCTCCAGGCTAAACAACCTCAGTTCCCTCATCTGCTCTTCCTGAGATTTGTTCTTTAAGCCCTTCATCAACGTACATTCAACTAAAAAGTTATGTCAAGCAAGAAGACATGAAAATGCTTTAAAAAAACCCCAAACATAGTTTAAGTTCATATCAAATCCTGGAGGAAGGAGTAAGTTTTCAAACTCAAACATAAAAAATGTGGGGAAGGTGGCTAAGACAAGAGTTTTTAGTTTCTATCTACTGTGTTCAGATTCACCTCTTTGAACAGTCTAAGAAATACAGACACAAACATTAAGATGATTTAAGTGTCTCAATATTACATTTATCAAACTTACCTGACATATTTTTTCCCATATTTCATCACATCCTGCTTTTTCTTGAAAGCTAAGTGCCAAATCATAATTTTCAGCTTCAGACCACACAATCAAGGTATCCTTTAAAGAGAGGAAGAGTATTTTCAGGCAATGTATTTCAGATTTTGCAAACCTGAATAGTGTTTAAAGTGTAAGTTTCTAAAATAAATCCAGCTTGACACCTAACTCTTACAATACAAATATAACCATCACACTTTGTAAGATACTTATATGTTCTGAGATTCTTAGGATTAAAAACATTTCTGCATAAATCAGAATAAGAAAGTTCCAGAAAGTTTTAGAAGCTAACTCACATGGCCACATTACTGTAAATCTCCAAAAGTTTGGATACTTCTACCTCAATGTAAAATAGGGTGACAAAAGCAACAGGTTGGTTTTTGTTGTTGGGTTTTGGTTGTTTTTTTTAAAAATCTGTTTCAATTGGACCATATAAAACTGCACATCTTTTATAGGATCAAAGTTACAGTAATTTTTAAAAATTTTATAGCTCCAGAAGACACCATGCTAATGCACAGAACAGCTGCTTAAAAAGCAGCCCCAAGATACCTAGAAAGTTTAAACAAGAAAAGAAACTTGAACATGCACAGTTAACTCCTAAGAGAATGCACAGATACTACACTGAATGACGCACACCATTTTTACCCATTCCAAACTACCAATCTGAAGGAGTGTTTTGCCCTACATTTCTAGAAGTTCCCTGAAACTGTGCTTACTTACGTTTACTACCCAGACACTTAAGCTCTTATCTACTTACTAGATTAGTTCAAGAGTTTATCAGAGCCCTCATATTGCATGCAAAAACAATATATGGAAACATGTTTATTCTCCAAACAACAATATTGCACACTGATAACATATTTGATGCAGTAGTTTACAGACGGTCTGCTAAATAACTGTTAGAATTAAAAAAAACATGGAGGAGAAGAAAACAATCTGCATTATTTACATATAGAATTCAGTTTTATTTTTAAAGTCTCTTGTATTCCTGTAACAGCTATCTGAAATACAGCCACATTAAATATATAGAGCCCTGTGAAGCTGCATTATTTCAATTAAATGCTAAAACATGCATTTACTCAGCGGGACAAGAGGCATGAGAGCTCTACTTGTATTTCAATAGGAATCATAAAAGAGTATTTTTTGCTTCACTAAATATAGATTTTTGCTTACAGTGATTATTCCTAAAGGAATTAATTTTAAATAGTTGCAAAAGCACTTTAAGTTGTCAGACATCTGTAAATTATTTATTATTTATCATTAAACAGTTTATTAACTACGTTTAATTTCTTTCCAATATTAAAATGAACATAGAGGATAAAGAGAAATCTTACACTTCGATGTCGATTCACACTAACTAGAAAACTCCTTTAACTAAACTATAATCTAAATTGCACAATCAGTTAGCTCCATTAGGATGCAGTCAAGCAAAACAATATAATCAATCAATTTGCCATTACCAGAGCAGCTATACTGCTTCAGAGTCACTAATGGCTTTACCTTGCAAATGGCAAATAGTTTACCTTTTCCTTTTCCAAAGGTTGAGGAAGAGGTGGTACACAGAAGAAAGGGATTTAGGAAGACCACCTCCAAAATACAAAAGGAAGAAGAAAGTCACAATTAATAGTTTATTCTCTACAAGACAGGTCATGGTGCAAATACTCTGGTAATAACAGATTGACAGCACCTAGTACTGCTGACTCCTAGAGAGTAAGAAAAGTAACACTTTACAGAATTTTAAAAAGGAAAGGTCCAAGAGAAAAAAATATTCTATTTTTTAAAATAATATTTTAAAAACAGTATGTACCTTACCGCAGTATTTATTTTATGTATCAGGTTCCAAATTTAATACATTAATCTTTACAATTAGTATTTATACTGCAGTAATTTTCAAGGCCACTATCTCATCAGCTCCCCACTGAGCAGCTCTCATTTCATTTCAAAAAACCCCACCTTAACACTAAATCTTAAGTAGACCCTAGCAGGACTTGCTTCATTCCTATCTAATTACATTTCCATTTAAAGTGGTTAGATTTCTAAGCAAGCCATTTCCAAAAGATGAAAATTTATTTTCTTCTCTATAAAGATCATGACTAACAAAAAGGGAAATTACAAAAAGAACACAAATAAGAACAATGTTCTTTACATTAACTGAAGTAAATTGAATAAATAAAAGCTCTGAATTCTCTGAATAAAATCCAGCACTAGACCAGGGAAGGTCTGTCTTTTTCCTCTGGGGAGAGGAGGGCTGGATAGAGGAAAGCAGACACAGGAAAAATGAAAGGTAAGACAAAGGTAAATCTGCTTTGGAAAACTGTAGTTACAGATATACAGAAGTATGTTTGGCCATAGTACAGCAACTGTTCTTGTTAAACAAGATCATCTACTATCATACATAGAAGTTAAGACAGTATTTTATCACCTTTACACATTCTGATTTTTTTTTTTTTCTTTGGAATACAAAACAAAAAACTGCTGAAATAAATTATTCAAGCAGCAGAACAATAACCTTCAGGTTTTGCTTTTTAGTATTAGAAAAGTATTTTCCAATTGTCAACATTAACAATTTCAAATATTTGGTTACCTGAGGTCTTATCACAAAAGGATTTTATGTTACAAATTAATAACAGTGTCTCAACAGAAATTTACCAATTGCTACTCTCTGAATCTTCAGTAAGAGATTATTTGTATGTACCTGATTTCTTGCCTAAAAGGGCTTTTAAAAAGAGAGCATAAAACAAAGTGAGAAAAGGACTTCACTCCGTTGCATAATACACGGCTCAGTCAAAGTTTAAACTCATTGTTACATGCAGACAGCTATTAATCTAATTCCTTTTTCTTAATCCTACAAAGCTTATAAACATCCAAAGGAAGAGCATGACAAGACATGTAGGGAGAAGTGACTGAAGGAAATTCTAGATGTAGGTAAAGATAAAATGTGAATGAAGTCTAGTTTCTGCTTGTTTTATTTAAAGCAAGCTGTTTGACCTGAAATTTCCTCCTTGTAATTTGAGCCCACTAACTAGTCTGCATCTCTCAGCTGTGGGCTAGGATTGTATGTCACTTCCAAATGCCAAACATTATTTCTTGCAACTCCAAAAAACAACTGAAATTTCTTAAAACTGTCTCCTCCATTCCAAGAAAAAACAGGAGTGTGAATAAATATACTTAGCAATAGGAGCTGTTGGTCAGAGAGGTAAGGAGATGAGTCTTGCACATCACCCCTCTATGAGCATAAAATCTTCAATGTTGTGTGATTCATAAAAAACAGTTCTGTTTCTGTTCGATGAAAAACATTTCTTTTTTTGCACTACAAAATGTTAGCCTCTAGCCAAGGAACTGGATGGGATGACTAAAACATCTAAATTTTGTTCTTATCTAGCTTGTCATTAAACATAATTGAAATGTGAAACTGCAGTATCGAATCAGAGCTACACTGTGTGAACTGAGTCATAAACATGGACAAATGTTTTATCACTGAAGGTTGTTATACTGAGCACTCTGCAAGAATCCCAGTTCATGTTTTTCAAGATGCATTAGAGTTCTTGGCAAGATCTTTTTTAAATAGAATGATAATCAGGAAACCACTTATGTAGAGTTCCCAATCTTATTCCTCATTTGAAAACCATTTTCTGCTTCACAAAAAATATTTTTATAACAATGCCAGTTGGACATATCACTACCTTAGCATACAAAAAACTTGCTGTCTCCCTAAGACCGTTTATATAAACTTGTCTTCTTTTATGTTACTGTTCATTATGACTACTCAGATATAATCAGGAAATCTTAATTTTACACAAAAATTCTGAGCTTGACCTCCTTCTACAAGACACATATAGTTAACATTCCAATAAAGAGATATTTATAATTTCTACCAGTGGAGGTTGACTTTTTGCCCTCCTATCCTTACTAAGATACAGCCAGAGGCAAAACTTCTTCAGAAAATAATCAGGCACTTCTCTGCTACTTGTCTTACTGCTGGCTGCATCAATCCCACATGGAGCAAGTTTTGGTTAGAGATTTTCAAGGAAGCATTACTGTGTGGTACAGCTTTATTTGAGAATTCATTCCTAAGAAGCCAATGTTAAAAAATACCCATGCAAGAGTTTAAGCTAGGAAGCAGCGACCATTCTACTTAGATGAACAAGGCTTAGTGTATCTACCATATGATTTCTCCTCACTTCTTGGTATTATTCTTTCCAAAAGGCTTACTTTCCTTAACAGAAAGAATACACACTATGTCTCAAGTTCTTGCCGTAATACTCATCTGAAGTCATACTTTTATTAGACATTAAGTAAGTTTTATTAGCAAGCTGATTAGCAGGTGTGTTGTACAGCATTCATCCAAAAGCAAGCCCTGGGATTTCATAACAAAGACTTTTAGAGTAACCACACCCAGGATTTAATCCTGCTATAGAACTCATACAGTATTTCTTTCCTAATGAGATAAAATTAAGAAAATTGTTACTGTTTGACTATGTCTTCTCACTGGTGCTCACGACCTGAAAGAATACTAGTCTTCTCCGTAGCTCAAGAATATTCTCTTGGCATCCCTAGGAGATTTAGGCTATTCTCAAGAAGTACTGATCCCCCAAAGTTGATAGATCTTGCACAAACTCTTGCTTTCTGTTTTAAATAGCAAATTAATCTCTCTCTACTATCCTTCAAATTAGTTAAGCCTATGACACTTTCCTTTCCCCACTGGAATTTCAATGGCAGAAGATTGTTGCTCCCTCCCCTTGGACTTCCCGATTTGGCTAGTCTTCCTTACCTAAGCCCCTACATAGTTCATAGTTGCAGACACTTCCCTGGACATGCCAACCATCCTTCAGCATCCTGCTAGCTAATTATTTACAGTAAAAAACACAGTTCAAGCAGCTCTCTGCTCATGAAATAAACTACTGACACTACCCAGTTTTTAATTAAATAGATATATAGTTATCATAGTAAATTGTGGCAGAATCTTCAGGCTAAAATAGCCCACCCCGGTAATAAAAACATAAGGATTTGTGCATTTGGTCACCTAGAACATAGATATGTTAACAAGTTATCCCAAAAACTGAAGTAACATATCAAAGGCACACTCAGTCTTTTGGCAGAATGTATGGTTAGTTTTTATGAAAGCTCAATCACACGGGGCTTTTCATTTAGTGATCTCATAGCTTCATTCCCATGAACCACATGGAATCAAATCAGTGTATTAGCTCTGTATTAGGCCTAGTGACCATACCCAGAGCCAGCAGAAAAATTAGATTTCACAGGAAAACACAAGTGTAGATAAAGGAACATATCCTCATTTAAAAGGATAAAAATTGTGACCATTTAAAACGGTAAAAAAAAAAATTGAAAAAACAACCCACCCCAAAACCAACAGCAGTCACTCCCCTTGCTTCTCCCCTCACTCTAAATAACCACACATTCTTCCTTACTATCTAGCTACAATGGGCACACATTTTATTGAAATGGTTTCGCTGTTGGCTTGCTTGTCCTGACAGCAAGGGCAGGAAGCTAATTTCTGAGTATTCTGCCACTGCCTTTTTGGATCTTTTCAAACTTCAGCTTTGTTATTAATAATTCTGCCCTCTATCATCCAAGGATAGCCGCATTTGAGCTACACAGCTAGTAGATGGTACTCTGGATAAATTTAAGCTTTGTATTCTTGTGAGGAACTGAAAAAGAGACTGCAAAGCAAATGACATAACACACTTAAGTTTCAAGTGCAGAGGCAAGACTTTGTAGGTGGAAGCTGTGAGCAACTCAAGTCTTCCTGTTTCAGTCACAAAAAGTGATGCCATACATACTTCATCCCTGTGCTACCGCATGTACGTGGATGCATCTCAAACAAAGTTGAGGATTCTATTGTGAAAGTATATTGAAAATTGTATACCCTAATCCACAGCGATACCAGCTTTGTCCCTAGATAAATGCTATGTACATCAAATTTATTCCTCCTTTCAGGTTGCACAGGAAGAGTTTTTACACACAACAGTGCTATGATTCATTTTCTGAATAAGGATCACTTGCTTAAGAACAGCACCTTTGTCACTAGCATTCCAGAATTGTGTCTCTTTTACTCCTTTTAAAAAAAACAAAACCATAAAAACTGATGCATGGCTTGAACTGTGTAAACTGACTTCACCAGCACATTGCCATGGAAGTATCTTCTACTTCTATTACTATACTGAGAAATCAATCAACAACAGAAGAGAAAAATTTAGTATTCTATGTGTGGTCCATCAACTCATAACTTAACAAAATTCCACTTACTTTAAGCTTTGTGCTACTTAGCAATAATTAAATCCAGTGTATTCCTTACCACAGCATCAAGACCATTATTGTAACATTTTAAAATAAGAATTCCAATATAACTTAACATATAGTTAAGTCTGGGAAGACAGGGGACTAGATTGCACAGGCTGAAGTATACCAGGACAATGTCAATTTATGAAAAATTAGTTCCCAAGGAGGTCTCAAAATCTGCCAAGTATTTCCTCTACAAAAGGAAAAGCAGAGTTTTATTTACCACAAATTAGATCAACATTTACATGCACAGAGACCTGCCTAAGCCACAATAAAGAGTAGTCATCGCTTTCAAACCTAAATCCCAAGAAATCTAAAGCAGACAATTTGACAAAATTTTACTTGAAGCTCAGGCTGAGTATGGCTTCTGGGCTTTTTTTTTTGCAGTAGTAGTGGGGTTTTGGGGGTTTTTGTTTTATTTTGTCGTTTTGAAGAGTTTTTTTGTAGTTTCCATGGTTATTTTACATGCTAAGAGAATAGAGGCAGCAATGGAAACTTGTACTCAGGTCTTAGCATTATTATTTTAATAAATAATGATCTAAGGCTGTAATGTTTCGAATAAAAGTATATATATGTATATCTGAGATTACATAGTTTGTATTATCAACAATTAATGAGACACTGACACTAATAGTGCAGCACAGGTAGAAAGTCCTTTCACCAATGGAAGTACTTTATCACAAAGGTATCTACAGGCTTGCTGAAGAACCAAAAGCTACTGGCACAGCAAGTTCCCCCAAGAGCTTATCTACCACACATCTCCTTCCTTCCAACCACAAATAACATTACTTGGTCCAAGAAAAGACTGTTTCTTCTTAGAAGCTTCAAGTCAGCCTAGACAGAAGACAGAACTCATTCACTTACTCTGTTTGACACCCAAAGTACCCAAAAGCCACATGTTAAGCATGTCACAGTAAAAACAGATGTACTACCACGTACCCATTTATAATTAAATGGAAGTTCACTCTCACAACAAAATTTTGAGGTAAGAGGCTGGTCAGACCATAACACTGGAAGTTGCTTTGAATTTTAAGTCTTACGTTTCCAGATTTTTCATTACATTTTCGAAGTGCAACTGACAACTGCACACATCTCAAATGTAAGTCATCTATCTCAAGCTGCAATTGCACTAGTAGCTGAGATGACCTAATCTAAGTGGCATTCTTCAGCCAAGAAAGACAGATCTTGCTCTTCCATCCCACAGTTCCACAAATGGATCTTACGTGGTAGCTTGAAACTTCTGCTGACACAGAAAGTTACAAGTTTTTGAGAAGCAATTTGGAGTACCAAGTTGATTTTCTTGTGGTTTAGTGAGTTTAGGCTGTTGAGAGTTCTAGGGGTATAGCTGGAGAGAAGAAACTCTTCCTTTCAGCTGATAAGCTCCAAGCTTTGCTCATACAGAATCAGGTTTAAACTCTGAACTTTTACTAGGGAAAAGGTAAGTAGGCCTCACCTGAAATATATGCTACAAAGTAGGATTAATACACATACCAGGAAAGATTTGGTATTTCTAAGGCTCAGAGTGGAGCCTGACATTCAATCTACATTACAGACTGCTTTGCTTAAATAATATGAACTATTTCTGTCTGCACCGTTTAAGAATATGCTTTAAGAACAGCACTTTTCCTTCTTAAGCACAGAGAACATACAGTGCTGCTCAGGACAGATTCATCTTAGCACTTCTATTTCTCTAACCATGTTTTCACAATCATCAACATCGGATTTGTGCAATGCTAGATTACATATGTCTGACCCAGAATAGTAATGAGCACAGACATGAAATGGTGTTCCACTCACAGGCATGTGTGGTGGTTTGCACTGGTCTTACAATTTTATGCCTACTTTAAGCAGGCTTCATGTTTAATCTGTCATAAATCTTATTGATACAAAGCTCCCCCCACAGTGCTCTTTGAAACAGATATTAAACAGCAAAGCAAGTTTACACTAGATCAGCACTTTATGCCATAGAGCTGTGGAATATTCAATGTCATTTTAGGAGTTCTAAAGCCTGAGTTACTGTATCATAGAACAATGACCTTCAGCTAGTCAGGATTACAACCAAGAGTTAGTTTGTTCTGCATTTTTGCTGATCTTCTCTTTTTTTACTTCCTGCAATTGATTCTCCATACTACATTTGCCTTAGCAGTTGTTCACTACAGACTATTTACATGGTGCATAATGAATTACATAAAGGGGAACATACAGGTTAAATTTTCTAAGGGAAGCTATTTTTAACCCAGACTGGTTCTCCCCATTCAGTTCAACATACAAGCCTACAAACAGCTGCAGCCAGAGAACCAATGGGTCTGCCTGTGAGCAAAACCACAGTTTGGCTGTGCTTATAATAACTATTTAATAACTATTAAAGCTGAAGACTGAAGCTCGTTTTAATACATTAACTGTAGCTGACAGAATTTTAGCAATGTGAGCTGACCACACAGGCAATAAAATATAATCTGGTTCAGCATTTCTAAACCTCTAAGGAGAATTTTCAGCATCCATGAGATAAGAAGAAAAAACAAAGGGTGAGACCTAAAGCTCACTTCTCACAATTCTTTATGGCTCACAATGTGTGGCTTAAATAATTGGAGCAAGGTGAAAACCAGAGGTGAGAAGCTGCCTTTATGTATATAGAATGCTTTGAAGCAGTAGTAACCCATATCCACCTTCCAAGCAAAAGCCAAACAAAGGTAAACATATAAATAGCTTTAAAGCCTTCTAGTCTTCTTTTACATAAAAAAAAAATTGAAAGTTTTAGCACCTGAAATACATAGAAGAAAAAAGCCAGATGATAAGTTTCAGATACTATAATCCTCAGGGACCTTAGCTACTTTATTTTGCCAACTATGCTTTGCCCATCTCTCCCAAAGCATTTTTTGGTGTAAGACCAAGTGCTAGTTATATATATAAAAAAATAAATTGCAAAGAAATAACATTCACATACCAAGAAATGCACAAAAATATTGAGAACTACTTTTCCTCCTGTTTTGGTACAAGAACATACAGTGTAATTTGCAACAGAGGCAAAAGAAAAATTACTGCAGAGCTGAATTTAAAGAACCTGCCTTTAAATGTGAGAAAAAAAATAATGTTTACCTGTTGCTTCTGGTATGCAGTGTTTGGGTTAATTTTGGACTCCAAAAGAAGAGAGCCTAGAAAAACAAAACAAAACACTTATTTACATGTGTACTAAAATTTCTATCTCAGCATGAATTTTCTGATCACCTATATTCTACAGTTTTATTTAATTTTGCCCTCACAGATACTGTTCACATTGTACAGAACATGTGTTTGAGGACTGGACTTCTAACCTCTTTCTTATTCTGAGTAATGACTTCCATGGAAAATTTTTTAGCAATTATAAAGTCTGCAAAAAATAAGCACACAAAAAGCATCACAATTGCACTTCATAGTTGTTTGGGGTTTTTTTTTTACGAAGTCTGCTAATTTTGTGGTATTTACTCTTAAAGTTTAGCTAATATCTAAAAACTAATGCTTAGAGCGGCATCCACTGTGACTGCCAATACAAAAAAACTTCAGATATTATAAGCTTTGAAATAATGGTTTCACAGCACCTTATACTGATTTAAGATATAGAACAACAATTTTATTCTCATGTCTGTGTTTTACTCTCCTTTTCTTTACATAAGCATTAGTGTTAATACAGGTCACATTTAAATGGTTCAGAGTGTTGATCTAGGTAAAAGTAACCCTTCAAACTGCTTTTATTTTTGGTGCAGTCACTCACCTCACCCACCCTGTTTCTCAGTTGCAGAAATACCAGTGCATAAGGGACTATTTACAGCCATGACTTAAATTTACGTATCTGCAGAGCTTCACTCAACATACATGAAGAAGTACTGATAAATTAACTTGCATAGTTGTTCTTGTAATTATGACATAAGGCTATAAGCACCCCTTAAACAGGCACTTCTCCAGTCATTTACCTGCTTGAATTTATTCTTTAAGAAAGTCCAAACTTTAAAGAAAGTCTCAACTTCTAAGTTTCACTGCTATAGCCCTAAGGCAGTCTTGTATTACCAAACTATTTATCAAGTACCCTCACAAAATTTACATTGAAGAAAAATTAAAATGCTTCAACCACTTCAAATATGGAAGTCTGAGAACTTGAAGACAAGGGAAAAAAAGTGACATGGAATTGAAAATTGTACTTCCATCTCTCACAGTAGAATTAACAATTACTAGCTAGTTTTTCACTATCTGAAGAGTATAGCAATTATAAAATCCACAGCAAAAAATATCCCAAACCTATGCTTGTTTACTAAGTACCACTATCCTCAATCTCATAGGTTGCATTTACACAAAATACCCAAACTTCTTTGCTGAAGAACTGCTACTGACTGATAGAACATCACAAAAGCACAGAATATTTTGAGTTGGAAGTGACCTTTAAAGGTCATCCATTTCCTGCCTGGATGCAGTCCTGTGCAATGTGCTCTAGGCGATCCTGCTTTAGCTGGGAGTTGGACTAGATGATCTCTATCAATCCCTACCAATTCTGACAATTCTGTGATTCAACCCCCTTGCAATAAGCATAGACATCTTCAACTATATCAGGTTGCTCAGAGACCCACTCAGCCTGAGCCTAAATGTTTCCAAGTTTGGGGCATCTACCACCTCTCTGGACTACCTGTTCCAGTGTCTCACCGCCCTCACTGTAAAAAATTCTTCCTAATATCTAGTCTAAATCTACCCTCTTTCAGTTTAAAACCATTATCTCCTGTCCTATCACAACAGGCCCTACTAAAAAGACTGTCCCCATCTTTCTTTTAAGCCTTCTTTAAATACTCAAAGTCTGCAGGTAGGGCTCCCTGGAGCCTTTTCTTCTCCAGGCTGAACAACCTCAACTCTCTCAGCCTGTCCCCATAGGAGAAGTGCTCCAGACCTTTGATAATTTTTTTTGTGGCCCTCCTCTGGACACATTCCAACAGCCCATGTCCTTCTTGTGCTGGGGACAGAACTGGACACAATACTGCTGGCGGGGTCTTGTGGAGAATGGAATAGAGAGGGAAAATCACCTCCCTTGACCTGCTGGCCACACTTTTTTTGATGCAGCCCAAGAGACAGCTGGCTTTCTGAGCTGTGAGTGCACATTGCCAACTCCAGTCCAGCTTTTCATCAACCAACACCCTCAAGTCTTTCTCCACAGCGCTGCTTCAAATCCCTTCACCCCATAGCCTGTATCGATACCAGGTGTTGCCCCAACCCATGTGCACGACCTTGCACTTGCCCTTGTTGAACTTGATGAGGGTCACAAGGGCCCACTTCTCAAGCTCATCCAGGTCCCTCTGAACCACACTCTGTTCCTCAGGCATGTAAATCACACCACTCAGCTTGGTGTTCATGGAATCACAGAATTGTCAGAGTTGGAAGGGACCTCTAGAGATCATTCAATTCAACTCCCCTGCTAAAGCAACACTGCCTAGAGCACATTACTCAGGACTGCATCCAGGCAGATTTTGAGTACCTCTAGAGAAGGAGACTCCACAACCTCCCTAAGCAGTCTGTTCCAGTGCTTTGTCACCCTTACCATAAAGAAATTTTTCCTCATATTTAAATGGAACTACCCATGATCCAGCTTGTGCCCGTTGCCCCTTGTCCCATCACTGGGAACTACTGAAAACAGTCTGGCTCCATCGTCCTTGCACCATCCCTTTAGATACTTATAGGTATTAGTAAGGTCTCCCCTCAGCCTTCTCTTCTCCAGGCTAAAGAGTCCCAGCTCTCTCAGCCTTTCCTCATAAGGGTGATGCTCCAATCCCCCAAGCATCTTTGTTGCCCTCCACTCGACTCGCTAGCAGTTCCCTGCCTCTTTTGAACTGGGGAGCCCAGAACTGCACACAGTATTCCACATGTGGCCTCACCAGGGCAGAATAGAGGAGAATGACCTCTATCAACCTAGTGGCCACACTCTTCCCTACATATCCCACAATTCCATTGGCCTTCTTGGCAGCAAGGGCACATTGCTGGCTCATGGATAATTTACTATCTCCCAGGAATCCCAGATCCTTCTCCTTGGAACTGCTTTCCAGCAGGTCCACCCCTAACCTCTATTGGTGCATGGGGTTCTTACTCCCCAGGTGCAGGACCCTACACTTCCTCTTGTTGAACCTCACTACATTCCTCCCTGCTCAGCTCTCTAGCCTGTCCAGGAGGTCATGCTGGATGGCAGCACAGCCCTCTGGAGTGTCAGCCACCCCTCCCAGTTTGGTATCATCAGTGAGCTTGCTGAGGATACACTCTGTCCCCTCATCCAGGTCACTGATGAATATGTTGAACAAGACCAGACCAAATATGGATGCCTGGGTGACACCACTGGTTACAGGCCTCCAACTCGACCCTGCTCCATTAATAACAACCCTCTGAGCTCTGTCACACAGCCAGCTCTCAATCTATCTCACTGTCCACTCATCTAGCCCACACTCCCTCAGTACCGTAATGAGGATGTTATGGGAGACAGTGTCAAAAGCCTCATTGAAGTCAAGGCAGATGACATCTGCTGCTCTCCCCTCATCCAGACAACCAGTTATGTCACACAGGCTAGCAGATTTGTCAAGCATGATTTACCCTTGGTAAATCCATGTTGACCACTCCAAACAACTTCCTGTTCTTCAACATGTTTAGAGATGACATCTGTAAAGAGTTGCTCCATCACTTCACCAAGGACAGAGGTGAGACTAACCAGCCTGTAGTACCCTGGGTCCTCCTTCTTGCTCTTTTTGAAGACTGGAGTGATAGTGGCCTTCCTCCAGCCCTCAGGCATCTCCCCTGTTCTCCATGACTTTTCAAAGATGATGGACAGTGGCCCAGCAATAACATCTGCCAGCTCTCAGCATTCATTGGTGCATCCCATCAGGGCCCATGGACTTATGGATGTCTAGTTTGGCCAGCTGGTCTCTAACCCAATCCTCCCCCACTGAGGGTAAGTCTTCCTCTCTCCAGACCCTCTCCCTTGCCTCCAGGGTCTAGGATTTATGAGGGACAGCTTTAGCAGTGAAGACTGAAGCAAAGAAGGCATTCAGTAACTCTGTCTTCTCTGTGTCTTCCACCACTAGGGCACCAACCTCATTTATCAGTGGGCCTACATTTTCTCTAGTCTTCCTGTTGTCTGCAAATTTGCTAAAGGTGGCCACGATCTCACTATGTCATTAATGAAGATGTTAGGTTGGGGGACCACAGGGAAGAGAGACTGAAGAATCAGATCACAGAACTTCACTTGCTGAGTGGTGTATCAATAAAGAATAAAATAAATGTCAGAACAGTTTGCTGTCTGATAAGAAAGGCTATTACTTCATGCATTTAGAAGTTTTACCATTGGATTTTAATATTCTTTAGCTTACTATGCATGTGATAAGATACCATTTGTTTTTTTTTTAACAAAGTAACTTACCTGTGATGGCTGCTTCTTCCTAATTTCTATGTCTGTTGTTCTACAAGGAATAGCCTTCACTAATGATATAGGCTTGAGAAGCTATCACCCTGTTTTAAACTGCTCTTGAAGTAAGAGCTGTTTACAAACTAAGGTATAATCTAACTACAAAACTGAATAGCCCTCAAGGGAAAACAAGACAACAAAAAAAGCAATCTCCCCCCAGAACCACATATACTACTCCTTTTTTCAAAAGGTTTTCAGTTTTTTAACCTGTATCAGCTCAGTTAACAAGGAAGCTTATTTGCCTGTGACAGCACAACTAAAGAAAAAAACCCAACACACCACACACTATAGAGGAGGTCAAAGAAGGAAAACATGTAAGATCAAAATTACTGATGAGTCAAACACACTGTGATACTTAGGCCTCGAGCTCTGAATTTTGGGTTTGCCCAGTGAACATCTAAAACCAGCATTCCCTCTTCTATTATGATCATCAGTGATACGCAATGCTTCACTTCAATCTTACTTTCAGTTTCAAAGCCTCAGCTGTAACTACATGAAGTTTTAGAAAATTATTTTGTGTTATTGATTTGGTTAACCATCTTCTAGAAAGTCTTTGCTGTCTGTATTTAATAGCAGCAAATGTGAACTAGAATCTTCTAAGAATTAAAAGCAATTCATGATTTCAACATATTTTAACTGCTGAACACAGATCTGCAGAAGTGGAAATGAGCAGATTATCATACAATACTTGAACAC